GTTTATTAAGTTTTGATCTGTCTACAACGTAGCTTGATTAGTTCAGATAGTGTTTTGAATTATAGAGGTCTCATTAATGATGATTGTAAACTTCTTATTAGCTCTTTTGATTCCATTTATATTAGCTCTTTTGATTCCATTTAAATTTGTTATGTTCGTAGATCAGTTAATCAGGTAGCACACTTACTTGTTTGGGTATCTGGTTCTTAGTCTGGTTGGAGGTTTGGCATATCACTCCTATTTGCATTCAGAATTTTTTTCCTCCAGTATTAATGAATTTGGCACCTTTCTTTCGGAAAAAAAAAAAAAAAAAAAAAAAAAAGTTTTGATCTATCTTCATGATGTTTGAACTTAAATGATTAAATTCCTTATATTTTAATTGAAGGATAGCCTTATTTGTGAAATTTTTTAAAGCTTTTGATGTGTTTGAGATGGTCCTTTTGATGTTCGCAAATCAATGCAAATGCAAAATAAAATATCAAGGAAATTATGAAATTTCTGACCACATGAAAATGATCTTAAATCAAATTGAAAGTAAAAAATGGTCGGAAATAGCAACAAAGATTTTTCCGAATACCAAAAGTGGTCGGAACAAGGCTTTCGACTTGATTTAAGATCACTTTTAGGTGGTCGGAAATTTCAGAATTTTTAGTAGTGAATAATTGCAAACTTACATTTCTCGAAAAATGACATCTACTGAGTATTTTGATCATAACTTGATATATGATGGTCTAATTGAGATGATTTTAATGGCATTATTGAAAATCCAATTCAAAGGGTTACAATTCTTATGAAAGCAAGCTTAGGAATGAATTTCATGGAAATTGAGGTTTCTGTCCGCTTTCTAGATTTTTTTTTTCCTTCCCGGTGAAAGAGGTCGAGTCGACTCCTATGCCGTTAGCTATGCCCTACTTGGTCCCCCGGCACGGTGGAAGTTCCGTAGCGCATTATGAGCACGGGCTAAGGAGCGATTGAGCAGGCTAATACGAGTCGATCAAAAGAAGCAAGACTTAGATTACCAGATCCTGGACACAATCTTCCTAGAGATGGAGAGCCCCTTGCTTCGCTTTTTTTCCATTTAGATTTTCTATGCTCCTAATGTTTTGGGGCATCCCGACAATAATACGAGTTAAAGTTAGTTTAGAAGTTGAAATTGCTTAGCAACGACTCATTCCTTATGGATTGACACCTCTAAATACTCATGAAATTTATAAATTTAGTTTATCTTTAATGCTACCATCAATAAGGTATCTTCAAGGTCCCAAAATAAGTATCTACATCCAAAATTTGTTTAAGAGAATAAATATCAAGCATTAAAGCTGTACTCAACGCAAAGGAATTCGTACTTTCGATTTTCGAGCAGGAAAGCTTAAAACTAACATAACTGAATTAACTACCCACGCAGCAAAGCCATGGCTTCTTGGACCTGTACACTCTCTTTACCACCGCTTTCCATAAACTCTCATCAACCTTCTGTTACTCAATCATCTCAGCTTCCTTATCAAAACCCGCCGCCGCAGAACCGTCATCCTCAGCCATCGCCCGCCGCCACTCTCGCTCCTGCCGGAAACCAAAGACCGACTTCACAACCGCGTTCTCGGGCTTCATGGATCGACGCGCTTCGATCGGAAGTCCAATCGAATTGTTTCAGAGACGCCATCGACACCTACATCCAGATGAACGTCGCTGGGGTCCGACCCGAGAACTTCGCTTTCCCAGCTGCTTTGAAGGCAGCCACGGGGCTTCAGGACTTGAATCTAGGAAAACAAATTCATGGTTGTGCGGTTAAATTAGGGTATGACTCGAGATCCGTGACCGTGGCGAATACTCTTATCAATATGTACGGGCAGTGTGGTGGAGATATAAGCCAGGTTTACAAGGTGTTTGATAAAATTCCCAAAAGAGACCAAGTGTCTTGGAACTCAGTGATCAATGCTCTGTGTAAATTTGAGGAGTGGGAATTGGCGTTAGAGGCATTTAGGTTAATGGGTTCAGAGGGATTTGTTCCTAATTCTTATACTTTAGTAAGTGCAGCTCTTGCTTGTAGTAATTTGACGAGGCCATATGGACTAAAGCTAGGGAAGCAAGTCCATGGATATTGTTTGAGAATGGATGAGAGGAAGACTTTTACTAACAATTCTTTGATGGCAATGTATGCAAAGCTAGGCAAGGTTAATTACTCAAAGATTATGTTTGAGTTGTTTGCAAACTGCGATATTGTTTCATGGAACACATTAATAAGCACATTTTCGCAGAATGGCCAGTTTAATGAGGCCTTGGAGTACTTGGGCCTTATGATTCTTGAAGGAGTGAGACCTGATGGGGTTACATTTTCAAGTGTCCTTCCTGCTTGTTCCCATTTGGAGTTACTAGATACTGGGAAGGAAATTCATGGTTATATCTTGAGAAATGGGGATTGGATTGAGAATTCATTTGTTGCAAGTGCTTTGGTGGACATGTATTGCAACTGTCACCAGGTGGAATATGGGCAAAAAGTATTTGATAGAACCAAACAGAGGAGACTTGGGCTTTGGAATGCCATGCTTGCTGGATATACACAAAATGGGTTTTACGAGAACGCCTTGGTGCTGTTCATGGAGATGGTGGAACTCTCGGGGCTAATTCCAAACACAACCACAATGGCGAGTATCTTGCCTGCTTGTGTACATTGTGAAAATTTCATCCATAAAGAAGTTATGCATGGGTATATAATAAAACTGGGCTTTCAAGACGACAGGTACGTGCAAAATGCATTGATGGATTTGTACTCTAGAATTGGAAAGAAAGATATATCAAAGCGTATTTTTGACAGCATGGAAAGCAAGGATATAGTTTCTTGGAACACTATAATAACAGGTTATGTAGTTTGTGGATTTCATGAGGATGCACTTGTCTTGTTACATGAAATGCAAACAGATAAACACAAGGATGTCTTAGAACATGATGTTAAGGTTCATTTCAGACCAAATTCAATAACACTCATGACTGTCCTTCCTGGTTGCGCTGCCCTGGCAGCACTTAAGAAGGGAAAAGAGATTCATGCCTATGCCATGAGATCTGCAATGGTTTCTGATGTCACTGTAGGTAGTGCATTGGTTGATATGTATGCAAAATGTGGCTGCCTGGACCTGGCAAGGAGGGTGTTCGATAGCATGCCTACCAAAAATGCAATAACCTGGAATGTTCTCATCATGGCTTATGGGATGCATGGAAAGGGAATCCAAGCCTTGGAACTTTTCAGGAGAATGGTTGCAGAAGGAACCAGAGATGGGGAAGTGAAGCTGAACGAGGTCACGTTTATTGCAATTTTTGCTGCGTGTAGTCACTCAGGGATGGTAGAGGAAGGACGAAAACTATTCTATGAAATGAAAGATGGTTATGGGGTAGAGCCTTCTGCAGATCACTATGCTTGTCTTGTCGACTTGCTTGGCCGAGCAGGTAAGCTGGAGGAAGCATATGAGCTCATTAGCCAGATGCCTCCTGGGCACAACAAGATTGGGGCCTGGAGTAGTTTGCTTGGTGCCTGCAGGGTCCATCAAAATGTAGAACTAGGTGAAATCTCAGCCAAGAATCTCTTTGAGCTGGAGCCAAATGTGGCAAGCCACTATGTCTTACTTTCTAACATATATTCATCAGCTGGGCTTTGGGAAAAAGCTAACGACGTGCGAAGGAACATGAAGGAAATGGGAGTAAGGAAAGAGCCTGGGTGCAGTTGGATTGAATTTGGGGAAGAGGTTCACAAATTCACAGCTGGTGATGGATCTCACCCACAAACTGAACACCTCTATGACTTTCTCGATGATTTGTCTGAGAAAATGAAAGAAGAAGGCTATGTGCCTGACACTTCCTGTGTTCTGCACAATGTCAATGATGACGAAAAGGAAAACCTTCTCTGTGGGCACAGTGAAAGATTAGCTATTGCTTTCGGTATTCTGAATACAGCTCCCGGGACTACCATCCGCGTTGCAAAGAATCTCCGGGTTTGTAACGACTGCCATGCTGCCACTAAGTTCATTTCAAAAGTTGTGAAGAGAGAGATCATTGTGAGAGATGTAAGAAGGTTTCACCATTTCAAGGATGGTACCTGTTCATGTGGAGATTACTGGTAAAATTGTACATGGTTCAGAGTTCAATTTAGTGGTAAGTTATACTCCTTTTCAAGCTGTAAACCAATGTTCAAATCTCACATTCCCCATTCCCCACCAAATCTACCAAAAATTTGGTAAAACTGTACAAGATATTGCATGAAACTGCACTTTCAAAGCCTAGGGTTAATAACATTATTTCCTATTCTTTTTTTCCAGCTTCACAAAAACTTATGCAGTAGATTCTTTCACCTTCACAAATCACAACATCAACAAATAAAGCTCTTGTTCAAGATACAAAAACCAAAGTTGATTCTGCAAATGATCAATAGTTGTAATCAGTGTTGCAAAAATCGCGCCTAGGCGCTAGGCGGTCCCCAGGACCCTAGAGGGCGCCTAGCGATTTTTTCAACATGGGTTGTAATGATCATAATCACATTTAACTGAAATAACCAAAAAAGAAAGGCACTTAACTAACCCTACTCCTTTTCTAAAAGACTACTAAATGAAGTTATGTGACTTTCTATGCAGAGCAATGCAATCACTGAATAAACTTTCATAGTCAAGCTCTACTCGGTTATACTGTCTCCAATCCCTCAATAGAATAGCAAGATAAATAAATAAATAAATAAAAAGTAACTGTGCAAGGTAACAACCATACATCTTTAGGAAAAGACGGGGGAAATGAGGTTAATAAGAGGACCATTCATTCTAAAGGTGACAAAAAAAGTACCCGACTTTAGTCATACAAGGCATTCTCTTAATAACCACGCACAGATATCACAAAAGCACCCTAACTTTGCATACCAATTGCCAAATAATGGAAATGACAGATGTCCTGAAACAACAATCTTCAGGTGATTTAAATGCTTTATGCCAATAAAAGTTTCAGACCCACACAAAAACCGGTAAATATAAATTATAAAGAGGATATGAATCCTATTATACTCCCAACCCAACTTAGATATCCAATATGAGCAATGATCATATGATAGAAAAGGGGGTAAAACAAAACTAAAATGTAAAATGACATAAATGTTGAAGTGAAACAAGGCCTAATTTGGCAACTATAGCAACACAGTTACACTCTACACTTAGTTTCTAGAGGAACAGTTATATAACTGACACCAAAGTGTAAAACAGATCTACACATTTCGAAACATCACGGTTCAACTGTATTACCAAGTGCAAACGAGAACACTTCACGAACTGGAGGATACTCGACGAGAGCAATATCCATCGCATAGCCAGAAACAGGCAATTTCAAGTCCCTTAATACAGTAAAAGCCTCGGCCATACGAGTCTTGGGCACTTCTTCAGCTACCGGGCAATAGGGAAGCCACATGTCGGGGCGATACTCCTCCCCGATTTCAAGCCCTTCCTTTCTCATCGAATCAAACAACTGCGAATGAAACTGGAGGAGAGACAAGGTCGGGGTGGGGGCGAGAAAGAGAACATTGTTGTCACTCGAGAGGCTCCCGATTGAAGCAAATGACAGGGGCAAAGGTTCTTGCTTTGATGCGAAATTTTTCACTATGGTCTCCAGCTTCAAGGGATCACAGAAAGTGCTCGAGAACAGGGTAATGTGCGGTCTAGATTCGATTTCAATAAGCTGAGTGCTGATCTGTCGTCTAGCCAACACATTCCAGGCCTTCAAGACCTGGTTCTCAAGTGCAGGATCAAAGTAAAGCTCAATTGCATAGCCCTGCGACATTGCCTCTAACAAAAAGGAAAAATAAAAAATAAAACCAAGAAACAAAGATTAAAACTAATCAATCAAGAAACTCCAAACCGAACAATAAGAGAACAGTAAAAACCTAATTAAACAACCACACAACGAACACCCAAGAAACCCGAATTCAAGATCTCACAACAGATACAGTAAATTAAACTAAATCAACAGAAGAAACCCAGATACCGTATGCAGAGAATTTAAAACCCTAACAAGAAAATTTAGAGAAAGAGCTGAAAGTAGCGCATACCCAATTCAGATTAGAGGCAAATAAGGGGGAAAAGAACCTGAAGACGAGATCCCAATAATTGGAAACGAGGAAAAATGGCAAAAATTATAGGGTTAACAGAGAGTGAGGAAGTACGGGTTAAAGAAAACTGGGAGATTGAAATCCGAAAAGGACAGAGGGAATATGGAGTGGTAATAAAGAGCGAGAAGAGGGAGTGTCCCAAAGGAAAAGTTTTTGACAAAGGGGAGTGTTAATGCAGGGTCGGAAAGACTCCAAGAACTTGTCTTCTACTCTTTTGTGTTCCTATAAACGTCTTACCACCGCTTGCTCCATGTGAAGGGAAAAATAGTTGACATTTTTGACCACCCATAATCACTCACCCCAAATTCGTAGGAATATCAAAAGTTGTTTTTATTTTCCTTTTTTACCCCTTTATTCTTGTCCACAAAAAGCATATTCCCAGAGCAATTTTAGACAAGTTGGTCTGATTATTGACTTGTAATCGGTCACAAGTTTAACCTCCAAGTCCCGATAAAAATAGTCTATTGACTTTCTTGTGATTTATCTCATAGTGATTTTTTGCCAGCTAGGATCACAATGCGGACATCGTATAGTGGTTGCGGGTGGACAAAATTCCCTAGCTCCAGAGCCCTCACACCCAAGCCCTATATAATAGCAAACTCGCTCTTTTACAACACAGAATCAATTGTGCTATCCGTGCTAGTTTTACCCGTCTATTCTTAACAAAAAATTATAGTATCAATTGACACTAGTATCTCCTGCACTAAGTACAATCAATGTCAAACGCTATGTAACATTATCTCCAAGAGTATTCAGTATAAACTCAAACATTGTATCCTCAATTTATTACTTTATTTATAAGGTTTGATATAAAACATAAATTTTAGTTGTTGATACGGAACTATATTATATGAGCAATTTCGTAAGGATTAAAGAGATATTACAAACATCTAACAAGTGTCAAACCTAAAGCCCATCCCTCTGCTGGAGTTTGGATAAAGGCAACAAATCCTATATGATTATGACAATCAACTTTGTAATTCTCCTTTCATTTCTTTTCTAATGCTATTCATACACGCATCTCTGCATATATGTACTCGTCCTAATTCAATGATTTTGGTAGGTTTGAAGATTGTGGTTAGTTGTTAACTTGTTACCTTGGAATTGGTCAAAAACCTTTAAAAAGATTCAAAAACATCTCTCTTAACTGTCACATTTTGTGATATAAGACTAATCCAGTAGTGTCTCAATCGAACTCTTAAGTGCAAGGAGGGGAAAGATAAGCATATAAATTTTCAAACACTAATATCTTACACAACACATTTTAATTTATAAAAAATAAATACTCCTAATAATAGTGAAGTCAAGGAAGCCATAACACAAGATGCTAGTATAGGAACAAGCATCAAAATTGAAGTTCACATAATTGAGGGGGTTCACACATGTCTCTTCTTAAGCTTGCCCTTTCCATAGCCTTTCTTTTTAGCCAACTTCATCTTCTTTTTCATCTTCTTTCCAATCGGTTTCAAAGATTTCATACCTTGGGTGTCGTCATCCATCTCAACATCTGCACATAAGTAAAGAAGGCTAAGATAACCAATGCTGTTGGAATAAGATGCAAATGTTGAGTTGACAAGTCAATTTTATCAGAAACAATAAGTATGGACCAAAAGAAATATAGAGAAATATATGGAAAATATTTCCTTATAACACCCAAAATAAAACCATTAAACCATTCTAACATTAAGCTCAACCACTGCATGACATATATGGGCTTGTTGGAGGAATAGATATTTAACTGGTTTGAATGTTTTGTGATGCTTTTGGTTACACTGAAGAATGGACTCGCGCTCTTCAAGTACACAGGCCTAGTGGTATACACAAGGAGCTCAACTAATACAAACATCAACACATAACGAGTTCATGTATTTTCAGCTCAATGGCAAGTCATCAGCAGGTTACCAGAAAACATCCCACTAAAACGTAAAAGGGTTGTAAAAAGAATATCAAGTATTTAAGTTCTTTAAACACAATGGGAAGAAGTAATAATTTAACCCAGCACAGGCATAAATTATTCCCACCATAGACATAAATTAACATAGCACAAAATTTCATTAAGGTGGATTGCCTAAAAGCAAAGATGTTTGAAAGAAGTAACGAGTTCAAGATATGTAAACGAAGATAACAACCACCAGGCATGTGTGAGAACCCTAAGCAAGCAAAGAACAAACTAAGAGAACTTATGTGTCAATTACAGTAAGAAAACTACTAATCTAAAGTCAGTGGGTGGAACGAAACAATGAACTATTGAAAATGTCGGCCAGTTCCTCTTATATACACAATTAAACAGCCAAGATGGTACAATTATAGGCAATTCCATCGGACAGGGTCATAGATCATGTTCTAAAAAGGCATCATTGCTTCAACTCACACAAATTGGTCAAGCTCTTAACTTGTTAACTATGACAATTTAAACTGAACACCATTCTATCAATTCTTATACCATAGACCGAGTTCACACTGCAGTATAGACCCTGGTTTTAACGTATGCGTTTTGTGTTATGACTTTTTGTATCTGCATTATGAAATTATATACCTTACACCACAGAAGACTCCACAAAGGCAGAATATAATAAACATATATTAATTAAAACAAGATATATGGATTATATGGTCAATTTGCCATGGAAACAACTTAGCCTTTAAAAAATGAGGAAGCTTATGGTTGCTTGGCAGCCACTGTAAAACTTCTACATCACATATCTATGATATGAAGTCATGTGCATAAATGACAGTAATTTCTCAAACAATATAGTAAATAAAGGTGTAATTCAAAGCAAACACAGCCATTATCGGCGAGAACCTATATCGATGAGTAAAGATTTCCTGTGAGTTAAAATTGCTAAATGAATTTAGTAACACAAAAAGATCAAAATTTTCCAATAATCAACAAAGCCACACAACATGAAGCGCTTTAGAAGAGGAGGGAAACATCTGAATGCTAAAAGTGAAGGAAATAGGCATACCCATATTGTTATCCTTGTCGATAGAGGTGGTTGGAGCCGGTTCTATAGACATAGCCGTGGTTCTATTCGTGGTGGATTGGGAGCGAACGGGAACCTTAGGGGCAGCAAGGGCAGCCTCTTGGGCAGCGAGCTTGGCGTCCTCTTTCTTTTGGGTGATAGGATCCGCAGACACAATCTCTCTTCTTATGGCTCTCAGCCTCTTCTCCCTCTTTGATCTCATAGACTTCGCCATTGTGCTTCCACTCTGTGTTGGTCTGCGATTTTTCTAGGGTTTAAGAGGAGAAACAGAGGTTGAAGATGAGGCTTCGAAATATGTTTGCGGGTCAGAAGGTGCAATTCGTGGAAACCCTAGTATATCCTACACCGCCCAAAGGAAATTGACAAATTGTGATTTGTGAAGATTAGCCAAGGGCATATCAGTAATTGCACATACGCAGTAGATAAATTAAGCCCGAATAGTAAAAAAGATAAAAATAGTCTCTATTATAATTACGGAATTTCACTTCAATCAAAGTTTATGCGTTATTACTTATAATTGTTGTATATATATATATATATATATATATATATATATATATATATATATATATATATATATATATAGAGAGAGGAGTGATCACATGTGGCCATGTTGTTAGGTGTGGTCATATGGTCAATTATAGGCCATTAGATTAGATAAATTCAATGAATCATATTAATCAAGATTTTTCTAGTATTTTCGCGCACATTCTCATACCCAGCGAATTGTAAGGGTAAACTCGTCATAAAACACCGGAATATTAATCAAGATTTTGTTGTGTATTTTATTACACTATTGGTGCATGTTGTCAACACTGTTGGTGTATTCTGGAACCCGCCCGCTATAAATGGCCATTGTAATTACCATAACACGGGAATACACCATTGGTGTGTTCACTCTGGTGTGTTTTATTACACTATTGGTGTATGTTGTCAACACGGTTGGTGTATTCTGGAACCCGCCTGCTATAAATGGCCACTGTAATTACCATAACACCCCCACTTACCAAAACGCGCGAAAATCCTCAGAATTATCACTGCCGTTAGATTAAACTGATTCAACGACACAGATACGACCACACGACCACACCTAATGACATGACCACATATGAGCGTTCTTCTATATATATATATATATATATATATATATATATATATATTTACGTCCTATCAATTCTATTATAATGTAGTATCTGTTTTTATACATCTTGAATTTTAAATCGTGTTTGGTTTTGCTGTTACCTAATGAGAATGTGGTTCTGGAGTTTCTAAGTTCAATTTAGGTCTTCTTTTTCTTCTTTTTTGTACTGTTTTGAGCAACACGATATTACGTAATACTTTACAAGATGTATAAAAATAATGGATTTAGTCTATTAAGATCAAATCAGATGCTTTATTAAATAGAAATATTAATTGCGATGTTAGTTTATGAAGGATTAAAATCGTCGCTTTGATAATAACTAAGAGATTAAATTCACACTTTACGTCTTACACTTCAATCACAACGGAAGAGCTAAAAGTGATATTTTTTCTTAATAAAAACTAAAAAACCTTATTGGTGGAAAAAATTCAAACATTGTGAAAATTATATTCAAATAACCTTTGATGACTCTGAATCAGGGCAATCAACCTTCATTATTTCATTGTGTACATAGCAGAATTCCCCCAAGGCACTTCTCATTATTAGGACTCTATCATCATTAGTGTTCGTTACCTATTATTATTAGTAATTAGTGTTCGTTACCTATTATTATTAGTATTCGTCTTGTAATAGGTTTACTATTCACTACTATATATACTCCTGTACAGACTCATTATTATTCATTCAGATATATCGTATCCTCATCTGGTATTAGCAGGTTTCTCTCTCCTCTCTCTAATGGCGCACCTCGGATCTGATGACGGCTCTGTTGGTAGTTCTGAACGGACCGTTTCCGAGGCCGCGCTTGTTGCACCGCTGCAGTCGGGGGTGTTTTTCTCTTCGGCGCATCACTTCGTCTCCATCAAGTTGACATCCCGCAATTTTTTGTTTTGGCGTACTCAGCTTCTTCCGTTCTTGGATGGCCAAGGGTTGTTGGGTTTTGTCGATGGTACTTCGGTATGTCCACCGATCACCGCGCTTGCCGTGCCGCCTGCCGAGGGAGCTGTTCCTGCCGTGCCTTCATCGACTTCGTCTTCCGCTGCTCGGAGTGCATGGCTCCATCAAGATAAGGTCGTGCTCTCCTTATTAATCTCATCCTTGTCCGACG